GAGTGTTGTTGTTGATGTGCCATCGAGTCACTTTCAACTCATAGCAACCCTGTCTAAACCCTGCTCTGTCCTGAGCCAACTTTATCGTCTCTGACACACTTATCCCCATTGTCCTACTCACTGAGTCAAACCATTTCATTGAGGGTCTTTCTCTCCTCACCCTCCAAGGTATGATGTAGCTCTCCAAGGACTGGTGCCTCTTTGCAACATGCCAAGAGTATGTCAGACAAAGCTTCAGAAACCTTACCTCCAAGAAGCAGCCTATTTTCACTGCCTCCACGATGAATCTGTTTGTTCTCCTGGCAATCCATAGTATATTCAATACTCTTCTCCAGCACTATAACTCAAAGGCATCAATTCTCCTATCATCTCTAATCATTATCTTGATTTATGATGCATAGCAAGTGACTGCAAAGACCATGGCCTGAATCAGGTGCACCTTAATCTCCAGACTGGCATTGTTGTTCTTAAGTACTCTGGAGAGATCTTGATAACACTTTCTCAATACAATATGTTGTGATTTGTTTTGTATTGTTTATGTAAGTTTTATGTATATGAGAACACCACACAGCCCTATGCTTGGTGCCCATTTTAAAGATTAAAATCACTAAAAACATTATGAAAATTTAAAAAAGCATGGTATCAAGTAGTCTATGAAAATGACCTCTGTTTACAATTATCGTTATTATAGGCCATTGAATTTTCTATTACTGATAGTGATTGCATGGACAATGGCTCTGTGACACAGAGTGGGGGCAAATGTTGGTTTTCAATGTACAATTTCACAGTCAATGTCAAACAAGGTAACACTACCATATTATTTCAGCTCAGTTGTGTTCAGTGTGTCAAAGATGAAGGGCTCAGGATATAATTTGTGTTTTCATTTCCTGGCTGCTGGTACCAAGAGTGTTAATTGTAGAGTCATGCAAACTGAAGCTGTTAACAATCTCAATCTCTTCATCCTCTATCATGGTGCTGCCAATCAGCCCAGTGGTGAAAATCTATTTTGTTTTCTTAACATTGAGCTTCCATCCATATTTAAAGCTGCAGTCCCTGACTTTCTGCAGCATACGCTTCAGGTCCTCCTCAGTTCCAGCAAGCAAAGTTGCGTCATCCACGTAATGTAAATTGCTGATGAGTCTTCCTCCAACCTTGATGCCACACACCTCCTCGTAGTGGCCAGGCTTCTGGAAAATCTGTTCCGCATGTAGATTGAAAAAGTGTGGACGCATCCCTGATATACACCCCTTCCCAATTTTGAATGATGTAGTGTTTCCTTGCTCTATTCTGACGGCTGTCTCTCGGTACAAGTATAGGTGTTACATCAGTGTAAACAAGTGTTCTGGGATTCCCATTCTTCTCAGTTAGCCACAGTTTGTTGTGATTGACACAGTCTTCTCTGATTTCAGAAACCCTTAGTTCTGAGCAGATTATTAGTCAATTTAGTCAACTATGCTTCAATGTCCATAAGTGAAACAGGTTGAAATATTCCCTTTCTTGTGTCTTCCTCAAAATTACAGCTGTACTTAAACATAGTGTTAGAATCATGGCGTCGTTCTTTCTCCTCAAGGTTCCCCACCCTTTCACCATTCTTTGACTTTTCTGAGCATTATGTCCTGTTCGAAGTCTCTGTTGGCCTGATGGAACGTGCTGCAGCTTCATGGAAGAGAAATGGATAGTCTCCTTTTGTCATTGCTATGAGTCAAAAGCCACTTGATGGCAGTGGGTGAGCCATAAAGAATATCTTTATTTCAACATTTTGAGACTCCCAGTATAAGACCCACAGTTGATTAAGCTACTAAATTTGTTATGCTTTGGTGTCTACAATCTTTTTTTATTTTTTTTTTGGGTGGTAGGTGTGTACTCTTATTATTATTTTTTTCCCCCTTGCTGTGTACCATGGAGTCAGATGTGAGTGGAACTGGAGGTGATTGCCCTTCCTTCTCCAGCGGAGCATCTGGTGAATTCAAACAATGCCTTTGGGTTTGCAGCGCAGCTTCTTGTCACTAGGCCACCAGGGCTCCCTGGTGTCTTATGGTCTTAATGGTTCAGGGCTCCCTGGTGTCTTATGGTCTTAATGGTTCAGGGCTCCCTGGTGTCTTATGGTCTTAATGGTTCTGTAGTCTCTTCATTTTATCAGCAAGAAGTTCATATTATTAGGACTATATATCATATAATGCTGAGTGTGTTATTTACACAAAAACAGCTGTACAAACAGAAGTGCTTAGAAAAGAACCCCTAATGTTAAATATTCTTTCATATAATGAAATAAGATCTTTATTCTTTTTTCTGTGACTGCACAATTTCATGTTTTCAATGATGAATATGCAATCAATTAACAGAATGCTTGTTATTGCTCTGTCAATAGGGTGCAGGTATCAGACTTAAGATAATCATGTAAACGTGTCCATGTGATTTAATAATTTATCATGAGATATATTCTAAATTAGAAGGAAGTATATTGCTTCAAATTGCTTTTGTTTATAGTTCACATAAGAGGCTCATCAAAATTCTCTGGAGCTTTATTCCCCATGGTTATACAGTTAGGTATAAAACACATAACTTGACAACATAATTTCCAAGTGTGCCCCACACTCAAGAGAACTTCCGTATTGCCTCTAATGATTTTTGAACCTGAGAGAATGTAATGTCCTTAAAAATTTTAGAGTCGTATATTTTTGATAAATTCCTATTGCCTAGTTACAATCTGAAGAATATATTTTTAACTTTAGGGAGCTTTTGTGGTCTGAGAAATAATTTTCAAACATTTTACTAGTCAAATCAAAGAAGTTCAGTCAATGTCTGCAATGATTTATCATTGGTGAGTTCTTTATTTAAGTAATATTCCATAAGAATTTCTGAAATAAGTAATATTTGTGTCAGTATCTTGATTTAGTACAGTGCTATTTGCCTAATTAATTTTACAATACTAATACAAGATATTGAACTGCATTTCTATATTTTTAAGAAATCTTATATTGATTTGTTTTTTATTCCTTTTTATGTACCTAAATCATATATTTAATTACTTTTGCTCAGGTGAATGAATGGTAATTGATTGTTAAGAATTCTTATCTCTTTTTGAAGGGAGAACAAACAAAAGCAATGTATAACACAGAAATTAGCTATAGCATATATTGAATAATTAATTTTCTTTTTCAAAACCCATATGAGGGATTGAATCAGAAAAGAAGAATAACAGTGAAGTCTGGATTAGTCACTACAGTTGCATGCAGAATTGTGACCTGGAATTTTACTTAAAATACAGGATTTTAATTCAATGGGTCAAGAGATCATTCTGGTTAGAACAGAGACTTTGATAAAGATACTGAATTATAAAAGAATGTGCTTTTCACAGGAAGGAGTAAAAATGTTTACGTAAGTGAAACAGAAGTAGCTAAGAAACTGACAGTGTCCAGAGTGACATTTTTGTTGTTTTTACCCATTGAGCTACCTTTGAGTTTCGGTGACCTTAGGAATAAAAAGTTACCCAGTCCTGAATAGTTTTCATGTTGAATGATAGAGTAAAACCCATTATTATTTCTGTGTGCCTCATTGAAGATTTGCTTCACTTTACCAAATGTGATGTTTTTCCGGATTGTGTCCTTAATAAGCAAGATGAAGTCTCACCATCCTTTCTTCTAAGGAGCCTTCTGGCTGTATAACTTATAAAATTCATTTATTTGTTCTTCTAGAGACTATGTAATACAAATAGAAGTGCTTAAATATGATATAAATCACACAGACAGAGAGTGGCCATTTTTCTCCTGTGGAGGCACTTATAGATTTGAACTTCTGGAGGGCTAAGTTAGCCACACAGCTCTCTACAGAGTGTGCCACTAGAGCACCCTAGGTGATTGGGCTTTATTTCTGGTGATGAATTTCATGAAAATGTGTGTTTGTTTTAATGTAATATGAACTATAAACTGACTTTTAAGAATAACTCCAAATCCTTTTCTCAGGAGATTGTTGTTGTTATTGTTGTTTGGTGCTGTCAAGTTGAGCATGATTATGAACAAAAGATCTGAGCTCTGTTCTATCCTGTGCCATCCTCACACTTCCTGACACACAAGAGCCCATTGCAGCAGTCACTGTGTTAATCCACCTGGTTGAGGGTTTTCCTCTCCTCTCTGACCCCCTACCCTTCCCTGCGTCATGTCCCTTTCCAAGGAATAGCCCCTCCTAGCAACATGCCCAACGTATGTGAGGTGAAGCCTCACCCTTCCTGCCTCCAAAGAGCACTCTGGCTGCACCCTCTGCAAAACATATCTGTTTGTTCTCTTTATGGTCCATGTTCAGTGCTCTTCTCCAACACCACTGTTCAAAGGCGTCAATTCCTTAGGAGATAGTTACCTTTAAAGGATTGAACATTTTAAGGCTGTTTAATGAGGATAAATGGACTGGACACAGCTAATGATGACTTTTTTTATCAGATAATTTAAACAAAAATGATTTGATGTAGATAGTCTGTGATTCTTGAAGAACGAATATCAAGTTCAAAAGTTGAGCACACTAGCACAAACTGTGAATGTTGGGAAATACATTTTTCATCAAAAAAATGAATCATTTTTTATTTACCTGATTTTCTTTTCCTTAAACATGTTTTTCTTTTCATAGCCATCATTGCATTAATCAAATGACTACTATAACCTGCCAACTGGTTTTTCTTTACTTTCATTTTTATCTAAAATAATTTGCATTATTATTATTACAGATATAAATGTGCTAAGTATCTTATCCCTTTTAATATATTTTATTAATGAGTACTATTGTTCTTATTTTACAGAAAAATACATTTAAGTATTGAAAGACAGATATTGATGACATTAATAATAAAGTCAGCAGGTGATCAAGTTAAACACAGAGTGAACAAGGAAGGATCACCATTGTTCTCAATGGTTTTTATTTATTCTTTCTAGAGTTTATATTATGCCTGACTTCTCAAGTTTGTTGTTCAGAATCCATTTTCTGTGTTGTGTCTGTCTGTTTCCACAAAAATCATGATACCAGATGGGGGAAACCAGAGCTCTGTGACTACATTCGTTCTTCTGGGCTTCTCTGAATACCCAAACCTACAAGGACCCCTCTTCCTGGCATTCTTAATCATTTACACAGTCACAGTGGTAGGGAACCTGGGCATCATTTTAGTCACAAGGATAAATCCCAAACTCCACACACCCATGTACTTTTTCCTTAGCCACCTCTCCTTTTTGGATATTTGTTATTCCCACGTATTTACACCTAAATTCCTAGAAATCTTGATCGTTAAAATCGGAATTATTTCTTTCAAAGGGTGCATGGTACAGTTTTATTTTGCCTGTACGTTTGTGATCACAGAAATGTTCATGTTAGCAGTGATGGCCTATGATCGCTTTGTGGCTGTTTGTAACCCTTTGCTCTACACGGTTGTTATGTCTCG